GTTTGAGAGAGGCGGGGCATAGAGGACCTACAATAATGTACAGTATTAGAAAAATAATGTGTTTTTTGAACATTAAAGCATGTCAACATATTCTGTTACACCAAATACACAAAATAATGATCTTTAAAATAGCATCATATGACCCCTTTAATGCCTTATTCGGCATGACCATATTTTAGATCCCTTAATCCTACCCCATACCTAAAACTTAACAACTACCTTACTAACTATTAATAAGCAGCAAATTAGGAGTTTGTTCAGGGAAAACTCTTAGATTTATCACATCTCTCCTGGTTAGGGACAGTTTGCAAAGTGTCTTAGACAGAATTCTGAAATATTTGGGACATAGTCTGTGTCATCACATACAGTTCATGGCTCTGATTAGCTTGTGCACGTGTTCATCAGACATCGAAAAGAGCCCTGAGACTGTAGCGATGCCATTCTTCAGTGAACACTCTGCTGTCATTCTCTCAGGGGAGAAAAGGAACAGCCGAAATAAAGCGGGCTGCCATCACAGAAGGTGTTCTGGTCCCAGCTGTGTCTCACAGCAACAATCAAATCAGTCATTCATCCCTCCCTAAGAGAAGAACACACTCTCACAAACACACATACCAGACGGCTTTGCAACCAGACAGCAACAAGTTCCTTCCGCACTTCTGCTGATGTGTCCAATTGCAGGCTAAAACAAGTGTGAAAAGCTAATGCGGCTTGAATCAAATGCCTGCCCAGGAGATTAGCTCACTGCCTCATCAGCTCATGGAGAACAGAGATACAAACACATCCCTCCATCCTTCTTTCAATCCTCCCTTCCAAAACAAGTGATGATAACAAAATTAACATTTGCTTTTATAATGAGATGCAGCAGTATATTTGCATCTATGTCTAGCAGATAACAAAGAAGTTTGCCAATTTTCATAATTAGCATTTAACAACTTGTGTGAGTGTGCTAGGATGCTCTGGAAAGCCACATTCCCACTTTAAAGCTTTTTAAATAGTAAGTAAGATGATTAGTTCCATACTATAATATACCATAATTTTGCTATTATATAACACTTCATGCTCTTTAGCAAAATACATGATTATTTCAATGCAAACGAAGGCTACTACTAAGAGAATATTTTGCTAGGGGAACAACAAAGATAAGAAATTACTGGTCCACATCCTGCTGGCTTCGCGGAGTTTGTGTGATTTGATTTGCTGCAGCAATCCCTTGCCAAAACGATTTATTTGCGACAAAATGAAAGTTAATTGTTTCACAGAACACAATACTTCCCTGCTGAAAAAAACTAAACAAAAACAAAACATTTTAAACCAGCCAAACCTGGTTTGCCGATCTTTTTGCTGGTTTTAGAGGGATTCAGGGAACTTTTCAGCTGGTCATGCTGGGGGAATATTTTAAATTAGCTTTACAGAAAATGCATGTGTCTACATTACAGTTTAGAGTGTTCTGTTATCAGAAGTGAATGTGTCCAAGTAATGTTCATTTCACAAATGAACAGTTCAAACAGAATCATACAGTTAGCTAACATGAATTAATTTCATGTGTTGGTAGACTACATAAATATCTAAGCTATCACCATCTTAGTTTATATCCAAAACCGTTTCGCTGAATCATGAGAATCTGAATCAAGACTGACATAGATGGATGGAAGTCAATAGTTGGAGGATTGTTAGTCCAGTATAAGTTGCCTGCAAATCCAGAAAAAACGCCTGAGATGTAAGCTAGAGAAAACAGCTGCACAATTTTATAAAGAACTTCATCACCTTCAGCCACTCACATGACTTTCAGAACAAATAATACTCAAGATTATAATTTTTGAGTGTTTTATTTATTTGAGTGATTTAAATTTTTAGTTTGTGCCTGAGGCTGCTGAATAAGAGTAAATCCACTGATACTTACAATGAACAATCCGGGGGCATTGTGGGAAATTCGATGTATTGCAAGAAGGTCTTATTAGAGAGTTTGTTTATACAAAAGCTTCTGTCTGTGTTTGTATGTTTCTTCACATCTTACATTGCTTTGCAGGATACAAGTAAAATTCATTATACAACAAAACATATAACTGTACCTTTAAAGGTACAAAATAGGTCCTTAGGGTACCCAAAAAGAGTCATGAAGGTACAATCAGATGTGAGAGGTACATTTTTGTACCTTTGAAATTTTACAGACGTTATGGTTGTTGTCGCTTTAAGAATTTCCCTCTCTTGGCTTCAGTCAATTCTGAAGCGAGTGAATTTGCGTTCTGACAGAACTTCGCATGAATTAGAACGCAAAGTGTTTTTTGGAGTTTACAATTCTCAGGTAAATGCAGAATAATTTTGTATATTATTATTTTTACACATGTGACGCCATGCTCTGTTGATTTTTGACTCGGTGTCGTGTACCCCTGCTTGAAGCCCGCGAAAAGTAGACTGGCTGGTGTACGTTAGCCCAGGATGGAGCTGAGGAGATGTGCACAGCTAATTTAATTTTGTAAAGACGTCACAGAAGAGGAGAGGACGGTGTTTTTGACGGTAAGTACGCTGTTAACGTTACATGTTAAAAAGTTAAGATAACAATGTTTTCTCGAGGATTTTCTTGGTGTCACTAACGTTATATTTACACAGCCTCTCATGTTGTATTGCTTTAATAACTAGCACCAACACTGCATATATTTGAAATGTTTACCATTGTAATTAGTGATTATATAACGTTTTATATTTTGAGGCTTTTTTAAACCGCCATTGTTAATATAATAATTTGTCTTTTCAGTATTAATAACTATTTGTACTATTTTATGTACATGGGACATTGCAATGCCTAATTATTACTTTCTCTTTTTTACCATAGTAATATCAGCCCATCAACAGTTTTTGAAGTTCTAAAGTTCCCTTTTAATGTTCAGGCTAAGTTGGACCAAAAGGAGTGCAGGCTTTCAGCAGCACATAGGAACAAAATTATTAGAACATTGTACGAAAACATAGCTCATTACAAGATGTAAGTATTCCTCATTAACTGTACCAAGGTCTTAATGACTTACATTCAGTTTTAAACATTTAAAGCTGTACTCGTGTGTTTAAAATATTTCTGCAGGTCTTCAACTAATGAAGAGTATGCTCAAATGGCTAAGGGCCTGACTCTGAGGTACCCCTTTTTAAAAGACATGGATATGCAAGTAGACGGGTTTCTTATAATGTCCTACTCTTGGTTCTGTTCATGTAGTTTATTTTGTGTATTACAAGATTACAAGACCTTTGGTGAGAGCATATTTTTATCTTTTTTTTTTACAGTGCTACATGTAACCAGTGTATTGTTCTCAAATGTATCATTATTACAAACCTTTTCATTATTTTCATGCTTAGAAATTAGAAATAACTTGTTGTCTGATTGTTTTTGTGTTTGTCTATGCACAAGGACATTGATGTTGTTGGAGAGAATGTTACATTAATAATGGAACAGGTAAAAGTCCTGCAAGACCAGTACAGAAGGACACAGACAGATACTCGCTTTGTTGAAGAGTGAATAAAGAAGACCTTTGCCTGTGGGTGAAAGAAGATTACTAGTAAGATGACTGTTGAAGATGCTGTCAACAAATATCCATTCTTAAAGAGTCCTCAGAGGTTAGTGTAGAATTATAATTCTAAAATTAAACTCTGGACACTGAAACTGTAAAAAATCTTCTGATTTACTTATGCTTGTGTTTTTCTTAACTATTTGCAGCTTCATCAAGAAATTGGTTTCCTGTATTAATCTGTTAATCTATGCCACCACTTTCAAGAAACATTGCGTCCAGTGTGCTACGGCTTGCTCAAGGGAAATCTCTATCAACGCTGCACAAAGAGGCTAGAGAGGAATCTCTCAGTGAAGACCATCATGGTAATTGACTCTTCAACTTTGTCCTCTTTATTAAGCCTATCCAATTCTA